ACTTCAGCTCTAGAAATGAAGTTTTCCAGTTACAACACAAAAACTTTAGCTCTAGAGCTGAAGTTTCCCATTTACAACACAAAAACTTCAGCTCTAGAGCTGAAGCTTACAAACAAAAACTTCAGCTCTAGAGCTGAAGTTCGACAGTTACAAAACAAAAACTTTAGCTCTAGAGCTGAACTTCAGGCCCGACTACTAGAATGCTGAAATTTTGCATGATTGCCTTTGCTACTTCAGCCCCGTATGCTGAAGTTATGCGAAAAGGCGGGTACGCATGCAATCTTTTTTGCAAAACGAGTACAAATTAAAACGTGACACAAAAAGCGGGTATAGATGCAAATACTCCATTGTTGGAACTTCTCCTATTTTTTGGTTAACAGTCTTTTTTGGTTTCAGCGTACTCGATAGAATTTGGGAGAGCATAAAGAAGAGGAAGGCATCTAACTGCAACTCCAATCCCTTTCTTTTTCTTCTCTGGTTTGTTTCTTTATTTCTTATAATATCTTTAAATGGACTAAAACCAGAAGCACCTTAAACTAGGAGACAAGAATGAGGCAAGAAGTAACGATTTATAAGGATTCAACTACTATGCTATTTAATTTATAGAGAAATTTTCATAAAGCTCTATCATTTAGTAGATTAGCCATCTATAGATACTATTTGCTATATTACGGATTATAGATACATTTTATGTGGCTATAAGATGTATTTGATGTATTTAAGTTATTGTATTCATGAATACAGTAGCAAAAATAGGCGTAAATCAGGGAAGTCCAGCTAATCAGTTGTTGAATTTTAGTGTATTCGACTGTATTTATGGAGTAAAATATGGGGTTACAGCTAGACAAATTATTGTATTCGACTGTATTTACGGCGTGAAATAGGGGATTATACTATTTTTAAAACGGAAAGTGAATCAATTAACATGATAGACTCCTAATATAACTCAACAAATTCAAAAATAACACACAAATTTTATATTTTCAGTTATAAAAAAGATTCTCAACCGAAAAATACCCTCAAAATTTAGCAATCTTCAGAGAAATTATATAATACATCTGAATACATAAATTATATTAATTGAAAAAATATATGAATACATTCATGACATATAGCGAGACAGTGAATACAATGAAATACATAGAAATACAATGGAAAAAAGACAGTGAATACAATAAAATACATGGAATACAACGAGATACATTGAATTACAATGAAAAAAGACAATGAATACAGTGAAATACATGAAATACATTGAAATATATTAACAGAAAATCAAGTTACTCAGCCCCAAACTCCGTCGTCTTTGTTCAAGAACAAACCCCAATTTCCGGTGAATCCGCCGTTCACCGGAAGCCGGTATTGAAAACGCGCCGCCTTCGTGGAAATTTCACTCTGAGTTGTGTGGCAAGATGACTTCTTCAAATTCTGGTGAGATCATGCTTAACGAACATCTGCTATATTTAATTGCACAATCAAACATTAAGGAGAAATTCCATGGCTTTTTTGGTTTATCAATTTTATGTCAGTTGGTGTAAAGAATCAGTGCATCTATTATACATTTCGAAGACAGTAAATTCGTCCTTAATTTGCTTTCATAGTAAATCCCTTTGTTCTTCTGCCTGAGCATCATGAGATATACACTCGATTGCAGTTGCCCACTGCTCGGAGACTGTTCATGTCGGAGAGATTAGTGTATTTGTTGCAATATCGTCTGTCCATCTGAGAAGATGCCGTTAGAAAGAGGAGGAGAGCGAAAATTTTAACGGGATGATGGAAGAGAATGGGATGTATCAAAGTAGAGAGAGAAAGAAAATAGTGTAACTGAATAGCGTATTTAGTGTCTTAGAGCAAGAGGATAACCAAAATTAAATATTTCGCTATAAACCTTAAAAGGTATCTATAAAATATAACTTTTTTAAATGGTATTTATTTAAAATAAATAAGGTGTTAACGTTTGACATGGGAGGTAAAAATTTCTAATAGGAATAATCTAATTACTTTTTTAGCAAAATTAGTCATAGCCCAACTAACAAAAAGTGGACCCGTTGTTGGTGATTTGCCAAAATGGTCAAATGCTGCTCTTTAATCAATTAACCAATGGTTGGTAGCAACCATTTTTAAATAAAATAAAAAAAGAAAGAACTTAAAATCAACCGCAACATACAAAATAAAAAAATAATTTTGTCCATGCGTCAAATTTTCATAACTTCACAGCAATTTTTCGATTTTCCAATGACACAGCTCGCTGCAAATCGGGTAACCCAATAACAGAACAAGTAAACACCACTCTCTCCGATCTGTTTCCGTCGCCAGCCGCCGCATTATTCATGCTCCACCACCGTAATCCGCCGCCGTTCTTGAACTCCCAACCCACTATCTCCTCCGCCATCTCCGATGACTTGTACATGTATGCATAATCTCCAGCTAAACACACACTAACTGAAAAAACTCCAAAAGTTTCACTTTTCAGCTTCTTAATTAACGCCGGCGGCATTTCCCCCATTTTCTCACACTCAAAATTCTCCGTGTTCACTTTCCAAATTTTAACTCCAGTGACATTTTCAGCGTCTCCGATCATGCCAATGAGGATCAGACGATCATTGGAGAATCCGATGATCGAATAGAAAATTTGTGGGTCGGCCCTTAGCTCGTAAGGTCCGGCCCAATTCTTGGTTTTCGGGTCAAAGCAGTGAGTGACGCCAGTGAATTTCTCGGCGACAATGAGTTTATCGCCGGTGGTGGCGATCGACAGCCACGTGGAAGCTGCGGAGTCTTTGAGTATCGCCGGCATGGACTCACACGTTTCCCACGTGCGAGTCTCCATGTTGTAGATTTCCACGGCTAAAGGATCGTCCTCAAAATCGCATGTACCGCCGGCAATAATGATGGAGCCGGCTACATGAGCCACGATAGGATCGGTCCTCCACACGCGCGGTGCATCCACGTGATGCCACGTGACATTCATCGGGTCGAATGAGAAAGAGAGCTTTGAAGGTGAAAGCATGTAGAGCAAATTGGAATGGGATGATCGGAGGGCGGAGACGTACTTAATGGACGGTTGAGATATCTCAAGCCACACGTGCGAGCGGGGGTCATAAGCGTGTACAGAAATGTCATAGGGTGAGCGAGTGCATTGGGTGTGTATAATAAGCCACGGCTTTGGCTTGTTGAAGCATCGGAGAGAAGAGGTGATGGCTCGGCTCCATGATTTTGACACGCACGAAGCGGGAACCAAGTCGACAAGTGGCACGTGCGAAAGAATAACCTCTAAGACATCTCCATGAATGGGGGCTTCATCATCAAGAATAATGGCCATTTTTTTGGATAGTTTGAAGTAATTGAATATTTCAAAGATGAAAAGTTTGCTGCAATAGTGATTTATATTGAAGTGGAGAAGAATGGTTTGAGGTTGGTATTTATATAGGGGAAGTGGATAATAGTTGGTGAGAGGTATTTTGGATATTTGGTTCATTATAGCAATATTGATGCACGCCCCACTAGTGGTTGTAAAATGTTGACTCACCAAGAACGATGAACTATGTCAACTTCAAAAGAGTCATTTTAGTTTTTTTTTTCAACCCCTTTTTGAATTCTACTAGTTGGTGGCACATATCTTTTAGTAAGTAGTTGTCTATGAATATTCAATATAAAATGTATATGTCACGGTGAGAAGGATATTTCGTCAAAAACCAGTGGATTCTTCGTGAATGGAGGCGCAAGGGATTTGGGCGATGGATGCTTTTGGCCCCTTTGGTGTCATTTATGGAGTTTAGCATTTTTTCCCCCACATTTTCAAAGCTTGAATACGAGATCTATGGTTATAAACATATAAACCTTTACCATTTAATCAGATTCCTCCATGGTAAACATAATACATTCCATTATGGTATCTGTTTAACCAAAAAATAGAATTTCAGTCAAAGCTAAAATTTAGAAGAACACGGGTTACTGATAATCAAAAGAATATGCAAAGGAAAGTAATTTGGGGGTAATTAGAGTATAATCAGGAGAAAAAACAAGTAAATTAAAGTATATTCCAATAATGTCTCTTGTCCCTACAATTGATCAGATACTTCCCTTTTATAGGTATCTTGAAGATATACGTTTTTTCCAAATCATAATAAGGCTATTATGAATAATTAAAGACATTGAATGCTACGTTACATAATCATTATAATCAATACAAATTCTCTAACGTATCGAGTATTTAATGCTTGTCAAATTCTGTATCTGCGCTCTTTACTATGGTCAGATCCATTCCTTTTGATTCTTGGATATAAATGACTTAAACAGGTATGGTCACCCGTGCCTCTTCCTTTGTCCTTGCTCGTTTCTATTGTTGCTCGTGCCTCTTGGCTAATTGTAATTCTCTGACTATTTGACCAGTCCATGTGTCTCGACACGTCATCTTTATAAATGTAATTTTTTTCCAATACAGATAGTCCCCCCACTTTTTATTTATTCATCAATTGAATATCTGGGAAGTGGATTTCATTAAAACGAGAATTTTTGTCACCATTAATGCTATGACAAAATTGACGCTTCAATTGTCACTTTCATTTAATACTCCGTACACGTATCAATTTTTCATTGGTTCTGCAGTTTTTGCAGCCTCTTTCAAGGTATTTACGGTTCCACTATTTACGAAGTGCGAGTTATCATAATTGTGATCCTTCCTTCACTGCACCTTTACCTTTGGCGGTCGATTATCAATATAAATATAACTTCTTCTCTTGTCTTTTACCTCATAAAGTTTTATTGAACACTTAATTTCTCAATTCTCTGTTTACTTCTTCTTTACATCATTCCTCTTCGCTATGTCTTCACCAAACCCTCACTCTCGAGAAGTCTCCATTGTTGATTCTTTCCCCAATGCCCCTGTTAGGCATAGAAGGGGAGGTAGGCTTCGTAGCTTAGGATCTACTCGAAGTGGTTTGTCTATGCCTTCTTCTAGTTCTGGTCCTTCTTCTAGAACCAGAGGTTCCCTTTCTCACAAATCTTCTTCTAGGAGTAAAGAACCTTCTGAACCATTACGCGAGCCTTTAGTAGAATAGATAGTCCTTACATAATTATCTTTTTACCATGATAGGGAATCTCTTAGAAACCATATTGCCGCTTTAGATCGTGTCGATACTTACCTCACTCAAATTACAGAAGTTTTGACTCCTGTCGTTCGTAAGGACTGTCATTGGAGTAACGATTTTTCCATTATTATCCCTAATCCGAATCAAAGAATAACTTCTTGTAAGCACGTGATTTTTGCTTCCCGGACAATCGCTCCAAAAGAAAACAAAAATAGTGACAA